TGAGGTTTAAGGAAGTACTTCAAGGGAGTTCGTCCAGGGGTCATGTTACCGAGCGCAAGGCGCTCCCAATCCACTCAAGGATTGGTTCGAACATCACCGACCGTCGGCATAGCTCAGCTATGGCGACTACTGCATGAGGTACGGKCCATTCCCGAACGCGTGGCATGGACACTGCCCGTACTCTTGCCTAGCAAGCGCTGGCCGTCCCGGGCACGATAGGTCAGCGCTATTCCGCATGCGAAATAGCGCTAACTTAGCGCACGCGAGCGCTACCGGAAMGCTTGCAGTCCCCGCGGTGAATCCTTTCATGTTTTAGCGGAGCATATTTCGAGAGCAGTGGAGCGAGGGCCGATGTCGGCGTTGACGAGGCCGCGTTTTCCAGCGTACGGCGTGCTTGGCGGCCGTGCTGCTTCGTCGCGWYCCAGCGTACKGCGTTTTTGGCGTTTTTTTTCTTCTTTCTTGTTCTCTTTCTCATTAGAAAGGGCGAGAGCCTTGATTCGAACTTGGGTATGCAGTTCAACAGTTCGCGGGTGTACGAACTGAGCTGGGCTCGTCGGTGCGGCAGCGTTTTGATAGCGCCATTGAGCGTGCTTTTGTTGTCGTTTCTCGTTATATACTTGAAAGGGACCTCCTCTGCACTTCTCTCCAAATGTGCAAAATGAGAGCGAATCTTCTGCTAGAACATGCACAGATACACCTCCATATTTTGTCTTTTGTGCATGTGGAGAGTAGTGTAGAATTTGATCTCATTCGCGTGCTTTCGCACCTGGGATGGCTGCATGTGACCGTATTTACGTCCCAGAGGAAAAACGTTTAAAAGAGCAACCAGAAATCGCACGTTCAAAAGGGGAAAAAAATAGAAAGGAAAAAGAAGAAAAAGAAAAAACGTTCACGCGTTTGAGGTGCAGCTACTCGCTCGTCGATCACGTTCTTGGGCCGCCACGCAAGCAGGGTGCGGACCACTCGTGATTWRGGTCTCCATCCACACACGCCTAGAAAACTCAGTAGTGCCCTCGACGGCCTCGCTCCGCTACGCGCTAATGTGAAAAATGAGGATGAATATTTCGCTAGAACAATCGAAGATACACTGGCATGTTTTTTTAATGTTGCGCGTGTGGTGAGTCATGGAGCGAGACTACCACTGCGAAGGTCTCCAGCACGAATCCTTGGAATTCCCGGTGATTCCAACAACACCATTCGACCACTTTCCTCGGGGCATATATATCGACATGACCTAACCTCTGAAGGTGGCAGATCGAAGCTCGCGGTGGCCTTTAGAGTGGCAGTGAGTGAAAGGCTGTGTGCTGCTCAGCGTGCGTGTCGGAAGGTAGAGGACGAGAGCCCAGTCGAGGTACCAGGGGAAGGAAAGCCAAGGGAGGAGGAGACGGCATTACCCACACTGGCCTTCTTGCTCCCGTTTGCGGGGAAGAGTTCGTTTCGTTAGCAGCTCTGTGGGAGTGAAGATGGCGCGCAAGGCAGTTCTGATCGGCATCAGCTATGCCGACAACGGACAGATTCCGACTTTGGACGGTCCTGTCCACGATGTCCTGCACGCGAAATCCGTTTTGACGTTATCGTATGGCTTCGCCGAGTCGGATCTCTTCGTGCTTGTCGATGATCCGTGCGTCTACAAGGGCGGGGCTCTCTCGCCCACCAAGTCTAATTTGTTGGCCGCTCTTGATTGGCTGGTGAAAGGCGCGCGGGAGGGCGACATTCTCTACGTGCATTTCTCCGGCTATGGGTCTCAGGTTCCGTCAAAGGCTTCCTTCGAAGGATTGGAGGAGGTCATCCTGCCGGTGGACGCGACGTGCGACGCTAGCGGTTTCAGGAATTTCATCACGCATGATGTGTTCTTGGAGAAGTTCGACTGTGTTCCGAAGGGCGTTACTGTTGTCTTCGTGTTCGACAGTGGATTCAGGGCTGACAATGAATGTGCGGCAGGTGAGTGACTGTTCCTATCAATTAAGCTCTCGCTGCAATGAACGTATCTGCACTCGGCATCCGTCTGTATACCTTCAACATATCGGGCGTTTGGCGGGTGGCGAGTGGTGGGACCATCTACCTTACCCAGTTTACATCACTACCTTCGTCCTTTCCGCAACCCCGCCCCCGGCCCAGAGCCTGTTTCTCTGTGTGTTTTGGAGCCCACCGTTAACCTCCGGTTTAGTTTTCCTTGTTTCGGTTCTCCCCGCCCCCGCGCCACTACAAGACTGTGTGCATAGGAGGGTCTTCCAAAACAGCGCTCGGTTTCGTGGATACTTTCTTTCTTTGCCCCCCTTTTCTTACTTGCAGTGCCATTGGCTTTCGTTGTATGCTCTGTGGCGCGTCTCTCATGCTGGCGAACATTTGAAGTTTCATCTGAGACCTGCCTGCGAGCAGAGGGGGTTATTACCGGATGTAAGCTCTCACCAAGCGGTGGTGGCTCTGATTCACGACGCTCAGTGGTAGTGCTGTTTTCGGGCTCTCTGGACCTCCTTCACAGATTCTCCAGTTGAATTATCTCATTCTGTTCTTCTGATTGGAGCTTCGCCAAAAGGCCGAGAAAGGTATTATGTCACACTAATGATGACTGTTGGTTTGTAAGAGCAGCAACATGTGTAAGCGATCCAAATGCCGAAATTTTTCACCGTTGTTATTATTTGTGTTTGAATCTAGCAGAAATTGACCTCGTGCAATTTGCGTTGTCCTTGCTCCGCTTGTCCGCCGTCCTTTTGCAGCTGTTCACCATTACACGTGTCGCAGCCTGCTGAACAAGGCTGTGAGGACGAGGGGCCTCGAGAATGTCGGCGTAAGGGCGGGCTACAGGAAGCTGAAGGAGGACGGGAGGTTCGCGGCGTTGAAATCTGGGAATCCTCTTCGAGACAGGTGCTTCGCTACTCCTTGTGCCTGGTTTGCCAGCGACGAACGACAGCCGAGCTGGGACGCGAAAATCGAAGGGAAAGCTGTGGGCGCTTTCAGTTATTACTTCTATGGCGCCATCAGCAACTCATCCAACGGCACGGATATCACGAATGACAGCCTTCTCTCCGCCACT